CTTCTGCTTTGTGTAACGCACAGAACAGTTGCTTTCAGCCTGGAATGCTGAGCGGTGCAGCAGAAGAAAAAAAAAAAAGCACAGCCCTTGTCAAACACATAAAGCAACATACCAAAGCGTTGCATCTGCGCAGCGTTTGGATTGGCTCTGCGGCCCGGAGCTATACATCGTGTTTTGTTGAGTGGATGGAAAGGCCGGATGAAGGAGTGAGGTTTGAAGATAAAGAGAGGTACGGGTTAGTGTTTGGAAATAACATAAAAATAACTGTGAGGGATGTTCTGTCCCATCCCGCCTTCCTGCCTCTGTGGAGCTAAACTGCTGTTTGTTCATCCAGTCTGGGAATGAGCAAGCCCATCGGCCTGACACTTCATTACCACGACCCTCTACAAGCCGAGAGGGGCATATTTATTTGGACAGTGATGGAATTTACTTTCCCCCCCCCCCCCCCCCCCCCCCGCCCCCTCATCCTTCCCTCTAACACTCCATGGTTAATCAGTGCAATGATAACAAAGAAAAGAGGGGCAATCATTTCTGAAGTTCATCCTGTCTCATTTATCACCGCTTCAAAGGAAATCTGGGGCCAGAGGCAAACAACTTACATGCTGTTTTGTTCATACCTGAACACTCGACATGACATGATTGTAAATGAGATGGTTAAACATTAAAAGACTTCCCATCAGGGTGCTTTGGTTTGATGTTTCTGTTTCTTTACACCTGAAGTCAGTGAGGAAAGACATTTATTTAGTAAAGCCTGGTTTCCTCATTACGTTCTGCTGCCACCTAGTGCCAGAAATTAGAACTGTATCTAGATGCCACTGGGAAAGTGTGTACTCAAAGCTCTTTAAATTCAACCTGACCATTTTCCTCTTTCCTCTTTTCAGACAGGGAAGCAATTTTCTTCAACAGCCACAATGTTTCCAAACCAGAGTCGTCCTCAGACTTGACCACGGTACGTTCACAATGTCACTGACCGCTTTCTCATTTGATTTCTGTACGAGTTTTGTTGATAATAATCTTTATTACTTTGTGTTTATCTCAGAGAGAGAACGTGGAGGGAGTGTCCCAGCCCCCCAGTGATGATGTCATCAGAGAGTTGTCCAGATCTTTGCGGCAGGCGCTAGGCGTGTCCCTGTTTGGCATCGACGTTATCATCAACAACCAAACAGGCCAACACGCCGTCATCGACATCAATGCATTCCCTGGTAGGTGCAACACGGGGAGGGGTGTGCTTTTTATCTTAAAATGGTTATCTATGGAGTGGACCTTCTGCTCACGTTGCCATAGGAGACGCAGGTCTGTTGTGCAACCAGTTGTTTGGTGGTAAATATCATCTGTGTAATCCTGAACTCTGTTTGTTCAGATCTCAGTCTCTGTGTCACATGACCTGCAATCTTCTTCTACTTACCCATTTTACATGTGTAAGTGTATGGGTACATACACTTTTCTTTTCAGCATTTAAAGGTCACCTATTATGCAAAATCCACTTGTTATGTCTTTTCTACATAAACATGTGTCTCCTCTGTGTAAAGAGATTCTGAAAGTTTCTTTTTGCCCTGATCCATTTATATAAAAACCTGTCTGAAAATGAGCTGATCAGATTTTGGCCACTTTAGGATGTCATAACGATTTTTTGGCTTGAGTAACCATTAGCCAATCACCAACCAAGGTAACCCCCCCCCCCCCCCCTTATCACCTGAATCTCCTCCTAGAGCACCATTGTGGTTTTTTTAACCAAATATCTCTCAGAGGGGCGTGGGGAGTGGCTCCTTATTTTCATCTAAAGTAACAGACAGAGAATCAGCACTTTTGAAACAGGACTGAAACAGAGGGGATTATGGGATGCTGCAATGTATACCAATCTGTTTGGTATTTCGAGCCAAACACTTCAGAGACATGTTTTGTATATATCTGAGATCTATAATATATTGATGAAAAACAGTATAATAGGGGACCTTTAAGATAATCAAGTCGAACAAAATGATTATAGTACTAGTAAATATACTAAAATATATACTATGTACAAACACAGCTCCATAGCATGAAAGGGAAAATAACCCTAACATTTGCAATATGGTGAGAAGCTGAATTGTCTGACGGATGTCCCCTGGTGTTCTCAGGTTATGAGGGTGTCCCTGAGTTCTTCACTGACCTCCTGAACCACATCACCAGCGTGCTTCAGAGCCACAGCCCGGACTTCGCCCCGGCCAGCGAGCAGCCCAAGAGCCTGCCGGTGAGCACCACGGTACCCAGCGCCGCCACGCCGGCCCCCGCCTGCTGCAGCATGCTGGGAAAAGAGGCCAGCGGCAGCCCCTGGATCGTAGAGGGCGACGGCGGGCTGAAGGGCCCCCGCCAGAGACTGGGCTGCAACTCGGCCATGTCCCCTAACTTCCAGCAGCACTGTGTCTCCACGATAGCTACCAAGGCCTCCTCCCAGTGACTGATCCCCCGCCCCCACTCCGTTTGATCCCTGAACAAAAAAAACAAAACGGATGACAATGGTGACAATAATAATGAATAATAATCATAATAATTATGATGTTAACGATGATAATATATCTAATCAAAAACAAATCTTTTCCTATATAGTTATTGAAAATGATGGTGATTGGGTGTAAGCTTTTTTCTCTCTGCCTTTTTGTATTTTTCGTTTCATCTAATGAGACTTAACAGTACTGTAATGTGAACTTTGGGAACTTTTTGGGAATAGCTGATTTTATTTTTCTCTCCTGTGTGAGTTCTCTGTAATGAAAGGGTCCAGATGAGGTAGCTAATGGGAATGGCTAATGGAGTCAGGACTGGAGAAAGATGTGCCACTAGACGTGCAATGTATGCTCCCTTGTATCTCACACACACACTAACACACACACACACAGGTATGTTTGCATTGCGACCACGCCTGTGATGTGTGTGTCTGTTTTCTGGTCAATACCACTGACTCCTCTGCACAAAGTGACGAGGAGAAAAGGTGACTGGGCATTTGAACACGCCTCCACAGGTCCAGGGCTGCTATGTGACTGTGGCCAACTCACCGCAGAGGACACCATGAGTCTGAACATGAACGACTACATAGTTTGGGGTTTTGTGGGTTTTGAACAAACGGGTAAGCCGTTTACTTTTCCGAGTGCCATCAAATTTCCGTCATGTGTTGGAGGGACAACTGCATAATCAAATCTCCATGACCATATGACCAAGATTTTCTTTTTTTATGATTGTTGCATCAATGATTTTAGGTCTTTGAGTGTTTTACTGTATGTCAATTGCCGGATGTTAGGTCGTCAACAGACAACACGTCCTTGTTAGAGTCCCAGTTTGAGTCGCTGCAGGAAGACGAGGATCACATTCCTTTTCGTGTTTGTGGATATTTTCAGACGATTCCATGATTTGTTTTTTCAGAATTCCAGTGTGAGATTGAACTCATCTCTTCAAGGCTTTATAGTCTCCTCAAACAGGCTTCTCCACATGTCGTCAGTGCTTGTATCTGTAATGTGAGCAAACTCCTCTACTGAGGCTTCCCTATCAAAAGAATGCTGCTTTAATTACATCATTAAGAATCAGAACCTATATTATTCCACCAAAATTTAAATATTAAAGTTTCGAATTGGGCATCAAATATTTTGATATCATTGAATGACAATGGTTCCAGATGATTGAGGAAGTTGTTCGGCGGTGTAACGTCTGTGCTTGATTAAGTTTCACTCTAACAGCATTTTCTTACAAAACGCAGTAAAGGAAACTGGGTAAAGCTTGAAGCTCAGATCCTCGGACCTGCTTCTGTTCCAGCTGCTGTTATTGTCACATGTTAAAATCCTTTGGAGGGGAAGCAGTGGGGGAGACAGTCCAGCTCTTGTTCCCAGTGTTCACTGTGAGATTTTTTTACTCCGATTTTGTTAATATCTTTGTCCTGATATCTACTAAGAGCAACTTTATTTTATTGAGATTTTATGGGAAAAAAATGTTTTATATAAATTAAATGAAAGCACGAGGGATGTTTTGGAACAAACGGTGGATATTTACTAGAGGTTTAGTAAAGCGCTGGGTCTGGTTGTACAGGTGGTGTCAAAGGGACACGTGTGGTTGATGCTGTTGTCTCCCTCTAGCATCTAGTGGGAAGGAGTGCCAACCTGTAGATTTTCACATTCCTCTGAGCCTGCTGCTTCTTCTCTTGTCCCAGAGAGCTCCTCCTAGCTGTCCCATTTCCTCCTTCTGTATCTGAGGGAACTGTCCTTGAATAAGTGTCAGTGCAGCCATCTCAACAGCATCTCTCTGGGACAAAAAGAAAATCATTGATGCTCTGATTTGGTCTTCTTTAGATCACATTGTGAGAATATTTCCACAAAGTGGTTAGCATTCTGGTTTTATCTCCCACAATTTGTGTGTCATGAAGAAAACAATTCAGCGTGTAAAGCAGCAGGTTCAGAGAAACTCTAACCCCATGGTTCCTCCTCTAGAAAACGGGGAAACATTTGTTGGGTGCGCCCCTGTTAAAGCTGGACAGGCTGAAATCTGTGTACACCACTATATTGTGTGTCCTATGTTGTGTTCCTTATCGTGCTTCTTAATGGGAAATAAATGGTTAATCCTGACCTTTGTCATTTCTGCAACCCAGACGTTGTCATCCTGCTCCAGTTTCCACCTGAATGTTTACTTCTTGGGTGTCTTGTACAGTACGTGTATATATGCCTAGGCTAACATCCGTACAGTATGTTTTGTATCAGTTCTGTAATTGAGAGGCATCCGCAATCCTTTTGTAATTAAATGGCCAAACCAACAGGGCGAAATAAACATGTGAACCCTTATCTGACTTTTTAATTCAGTTTTGTTTACCGCACCAAGTACTTGTCACTAATTGCTTTCATGTATAGTAGTCTCATGTAGCAGACACCTTATATCTGTTACATGAGACTACTAGAGAAACTGTCTCTTAATTGGTGATCTTGAAATACTTTAATTTCTTTCTACAAAGATCTCTTAGTGAATAAAACCACTGCAAAACAAAGTGCAGCATTTCTCCACCAAGCCTCCAGATGTTTATTGACTCGGTGTTTATGGTTTGCACATTTCATTGAACACAGTAAAAAAATAAGGACTTTTTTTCAACACGGACAAAAGAGACAAAAGGGTTGCTTATTAAAATATATCTTTTCATAATCATAGTCTTCTGTACATGTAAAAAAAAACAATACAAATATTTACAAGAACACAAGACAGTACAAAAGGTTTCTAATGCTACGTTCTGTTCCCTGCCAGCTGCTGGGAGGTTTTGTTATTTATAATGATGCTGCTGGGAGGTTTTGTTATTTATAATGATGCTCTGTGGGGTTGGTCAGCAGGCCCAGGATGGTGGAGAGACAGTGCAGCTTCTCCTTGACGTGCACTGGCAACTTCTCGCTCTCCTTGTACCTGAGGAGACGACAAACATTAAAGAGAGCTGTTCCTGCACACAAACACACACCTATAAAGTGACCACGTTTATTTTCCAGTACCTGGTGACCCTCCCCTCTGGAGATGTGTAGGTGATGCAGGAAACTCCCGCCTGAACCACCAGCTGGGAACCGTCGTTGAACTGCACCCACACCTCTCCACTCGTCAGCTGCAGAGACAGACACAGATTGAATTACACAGACGATTCATTTTCTGAATATAGAATATAGCTGAATCTATTTATCAGTTACCTGGGACGCCCATCCAACATTGGGCACAAATATCGACTTCACCACTTTCCCTGTGTCCTGTCGCAGCGGGGAGGTTTTCCTATTCAGGCTGGCTGTGGTGAAATCAGACCCGTCATACGAGATCATCTAAAAAATGATACAAAATTGGAAATTGAAAGACAAATCCCATCAAGAGTCAAGTTGTTATTCTTCTGTTTATACACCCTGTAGTGTAGGACTGTAAGACACCTACTGAAGGAGTGATTTGCGGAGGTTGAGGAGGTGAAGCAGTATCAGGAGGCACCGGGTGGGAGGGCAGGGACGAAGAGCACTGGGAGTCTGGGATGGCAGGTCTCCTGGGAGCAGGTGCAAAACTAACATTAACCACAACACAAGGCAACATTCAAACCAAGAAATGACATCAACGTGTTGTTCCTCTTACCTGCCAATAGTGATGGGGAAGAAAGGGATTTTCTTGGTGCTGCGCTGCTCCTCCGCTGAGATGGCGGTCTCCAGGGACAAACAAATGCTGTGGCCCTCGTCAGACAGCTCCACATACCCCCTGCTCTCCGGGCTCAAAACGCTCAGCCCCACCTCGCCCTTCACCGTGTACGACTTCCCGCTCTTCTCCACCACTCGCACCAGCTCCGACGTCTTGTGGGTCTTTGCTCCTACACAACGCAAGTCAAGCATGACATGTTAACTCTAACACAATAAATCGTCAGCACAGCTTTCTCCAATAACTAGTTGACTACCTTTGACTCACCATCATAAAAGCAAACTTCCAGGTCTGCATTCGGAGCGTTCTCCATCAGCATGACTTTTGCGTACTTGGTGTAAAGGGTCACTTTTGGAGTCTTGGATTTCACAAGCTGCACAAACTTAGAGGCGTATTGGTACTTCTTCCAGTATTTTTCTGTGAAAAGAAAAAAAATCACTTATAGTACATTTTTGATCTTATTCGAGCCGATGTTACTTGTTGCATTATGTCAGTCATAATACCTGGAAGGTCCTCGTAGCTGCAGATCAGAATATCTTCAGGTGGAGCAGGAGGACAGTCCAGGACAGGAAACCCCTTTCCACCATTAGGCTGGTATATTGTCACCTTCAAGAGATGATAATATTAAGATTTAAATAACATTATGTTATATTATGTTGTTACACTACCCCCTACATGTCACATATGGAACATGTCAGAGGTACTTGATTCAGTGAGCTCACCATGGAACCGTCACAGGAAATCCGGAGGACTTCTTTGACCCTTTCTTGACCGCTATGGCTTTTTAACAACTCCATACACACTTCACCTGTGTCCAGAACGCTCACCTGTAGGAAACAGGAAATACGATAATTATCTCAACTGCTCATAGTGAACATTACATAATTAAAATATATATGTGTGTAATATCTTACAACAGCATTTTTGGTCTTCTGTCTGATAGGCTTCAGTCTGGACGCGCACAGGGGCAGGATTATGTCTCTCAGCGTTTTCTTCTCTTTAACCACACCGGGTTTGGCTGAAGGCAGCTTTACTTCCCTGCTGTGAGGAGGCTGGAACTCTGGTATATTTTCCCTGTACGAGTCAGAGTTGGAGTGAAGGTTGTGTTGCTGGTTGTGGTTCACACCTCGGCCCATGGGCTTGTCGGTCCAGGAGTTGTGAGTCCCCAGAGCTCCTCGACCGCTATGAAAGCTGCCGCTGCTGCTGTGAGTGCTGCCGTCTGCCGGCCTCTGACCAGAACCTGAGCAAAGAGAAAACATTTTTGTAAACAGGATAGTTTTATTTATTTGAGTAGCAAGTAGCTTTTTTGTTTTTGCTTTACCAATGCTGAAATGTATCTGTATAATCTAAATCAAAATCTTACCGTCATTATTAAGCCAATTTGTAACTCCATCCAGGTCTTGAAATTGCAGGTTTGGTGGATGTGCAGTCTGTGTGGGTAACAAATACCCAGAACTGAAACAGAAAGTGCAACCCGTTAGTCTCATAACATTTGTTAAAATTAAAATAACATCATAAATAAAGACATGTCTTACTTTGTCGACTGTTTGACGGGGGGAGAGGGGAGCTGTCCATGCTCTGAGAAAGGCTGCTGAGAGGAGGGGAATCCTGGTCGTCCTAAACCAGTCAGACTCTCCTCTGAGTGGCTTCTCCCCAGCTCGGCGTGACCCGGCCCCTGGCCCGATCCCGAGTGGTCTGAGGAGTGTGCCCTCCTCAGGTAGCGGGAGTGAGGCTCCCTGCTGTCTCCACCATGAACCCCCCTGCTTCTTCCCTCCCTGTGAAATATATCCGCTTGATGCTGCTGCTGCCACTGGTCTCCATCCTCAAAACAGGGGCTGGTGGGTTTGCGTGAAAAGGTTGAAATGGGCACCATTCTGTTCGGCAGGGCAGAGCCAATCATGTTCCTGGTTCTCCTCTGGAGGCGGCTGCTGGTGCTGGCTGAAATGGAGGAGGTGCAGGCTGTGGAGATGGTGGCAATGCCGCTGTCCATGGAACAATCATCCACCAACCCCTGATCCTTGGTCCGGACCAGCAGGCTTTGGGTCATGAACGGGTGGTCCAGCACTGCAGACAGGCTGGGCCGATGGGCGGGGTCCCTCTGCAGCAGCTGGTGGATCAGGTCCTGAGCCTCCAGAGAAACATGGCTAGGCATATCATACTCCCCGAGAACCACTTTAGACAGAGTGTTCTTCACTGAGTCCGTGTCAAACGGAGGGCGACCCATCAGGAATGCGTAGAACATGCATCCCAGCGACCAGACGTCCGATTCAAGACCGTGAGCGCTTCGAGTGGCCACCTCTGGGGAGATGTAGTTGGGCGTCCCACACATGGTGAAGTGCTTTTCAGTTGGGAGTTTGAGCTGAGTGGCCAGCCCAAAGTCTGCAATCTTAATGTTCATGCTGCTCGTCAGCAAAAGGTTAGACAAGGTCAGGTCTCGATGCAATATGCCGTGGGTATGCAAGTACAGCATTCCTTTCAATATTTGATGCATGAAATGTCGTGCTGCGGATCAAAACAACACCCTTTTTTAGAAAAAGGCAGCTTGCAAAACTGAACATCAAAGAAACCATTTACTTTAACATAATAATAGTTTAATTTTCCAAAGTAAAATAATTGTGCCTGACCTTCATCCTCAGCGAATGCCGTTTCCTGCTCTTTTAGGTACCGACTCATCTCTCCGTTGTGGCACATCTCCAACACCAGGTACACATAGTTGCTGTCCTCAAAGTAGTTATACAGCTTAAATAAATAAATGATATAAAATACAGTATTTATTATCATGTTAGTGAGAAAAACAAAATATATGATTTCCCAAAAATAATCAAATGTAATTCTACAATTAATGTGTGTTTGTAACTGCAAATCTGCCACGTTATAAATCGTAAATTGTACATTTTGTACAGAAAAACATAAACCCGAAACGTTGCACAGTGTATGTAGTGTAATACCAAATCAGTTGAGTCCAGCCAACGTTACCTCGAGAATAGAAGGATGTTTCAATCGGCATTGAATCTCCACCTCGTTTGTCACACGCTGGACCATACCAGCTTTGTGCATTGCTTTTTTGTCAATCTGCAGATGGGAACAACAGAGATAATTATGCACCTGCCATTCACAGGATAAACACTGTGATACTGCGCTGCTGCATGGAGGTTGGTCTGTTGGCTAATAGTCAATCTGTCGCCCACAAAGACAGTGAACTTGCAGACCTCATTCGAGGGGAGTCGAGAGACCACCAGAAGCCCTTGGGAGGCGAGTAGGGTCTAATTATCCAAACCGTTCCATTTTACACTTCAACCGTCACTGGTAACAGCATGCGTTTTGGTTAAGAGTTTATATTACAGGTTAAGCATGCTGTAATTACCTAATTTTAATGACTTAGAGATAAATGATGGGGTTCTTACCGTTTTGATAGCAACCTCCAGACCGGTCCTCATAGATTTGGCCCGGTAAACACATGCAAAGGAGCCTTTCCCAAGGAGGGTGAGGACCTTAAAGTCCTACAACAGGAAAGAGAACAAAACAAACATTGAGTTGAACAATAACTCATTTAGATAAATGAATTGTATTTGCTAAATATTTAACCATGGTCTCAGATTTAAAGGTAATTCTATTTTGATCAAATTAGAGACAGGATCTTCAATAACATAATACCTCAATCCCGAGCTCCTGGTTAAAAGGTAAACAATTCTCCTCATCTCTGCTGGGTTCGGTGTCAGCAGAATGGTTTAGTAAGAAATAGTGGTTAACCTGATCAAATATCGTCTCTCTGGCCTGCGACATGCTGAATGAACAGCTAAACACACAATCCTACACCTAACGACCTGGCATAGGGAAATCCATCCCACAACAAACGTTAACTGTCAAACAAGCCACCAACACCTGACGGTGTCATATGGCCAACCAGAACCCTCCATTATCCCGGCTGTCTTCCCGCTAACGAGCTGTCTCCAAGCAACATGTTGGACTACCGAACTGAAGCAGGGGAATAACAGTGTGTCCCGGGAGAGAGGTAAGGTTACACATTACCAGGCTGCAACCTAATGCTGATAGCAATACACAAACTGATATAGTTATAGTAATAATAATAATAATAATAATAATACCACTAATAATAATAAGAGTTAAGCAAGTTTAAGTTAAAAAACAACTTGATACACAAACAAAAGCGAACACTCACGTAGAGTTAAATGGCTAACTAACATGTCGTTTAGCGGAAAGTTAAACGATATATGAATTTAAGTGAATCAAATTAAATGCTTTGACACTATTGACGTTAGTATATAAAGACAATAAGCGTTAACAGCACGGCAAACAAGCCATTTAAAGCTAAAACGAACTTTAATGTAAGCTAACGCTGCCAAACAGAGACAGTGTGCAGTTAGCTTGGCGTTAGCCTAAAAAAAGAGCTCACCTCAATCTTATCGCCGATCGAAACACTCATCGTGCCTGGTTTTCGCCTTGCAGATGCATGCAAGTTTGTAATAATATTCCTTGATCGGTACAGTACATCGATAGTCGGTAAAGGAGTGTTCAGAAGACGTATAAATGTTGATCTTGTGATACCCTCCAAAACTATACAATTACTTCCATTTTGAAAATATCCGCCCGTTATTCTCGGGGCTACGTCACAGGCTACGTCACATGGCAAAACAATCGTTGGCCCCGCCCCCTCGAAGGATCATGAATATATTTCAGGTTTGTTTTTTTCAATTCTTAACAAATCCGTTGTGCATTAATTGTAGGGAGAACCAAAGTGTATACAAGGAAATAAGTAAATAATATAAGCAATCAGAGGAGTGCATACACGCAGGATATTAAATGTTATTTAATCTACTGCTGCAACTAATAATTGTATTCGTAGTTTGTCTATAATAAAATGTGTCCTAAAAAAGTAAAAGAGATTTTTGTCCAAAACCTAAAAATATTCAACGTATAATACAACTACTATTGAATTATTTGTGTAGATTTCAATTCTACAACCACATAACTGACTCTGCACTGTTTGTCTTGATTGGCAAAGATCTGGTGGCCTTATTAGATAAAGTTATTTATATATATATTGTTACTGCTGAAAAATAAAAATAAAAGATAACATATTGGATTATTTCCTATTTTCCTTGTTGCATTAAAGATCTGATCTGTTAATTTTCTCATGATTAGTTTTGTAATTTATTAATTTAATTTCAAACAATAGAAGGCTTCATACACATTTATACCTTGAAGCTAAATTTGACTTGCGAAAAGTTTTGTCAGCAACTAGGTTTCCTCTTATTTGGTATTTTTCGGATAAAATAGTAGTAACAGTATGTTATCTCCACCACACTTTCTATTTTCTTTAGCACAATACAGTATACTACAGATTTAGCTAAATATCTTCATGTCCCACCTTTTGTTTTGTACAGAAAATCTAATTTCAGACTATTGAAATTTGGTCTTGCAGACAAATGCATTTATTTTTGACATCCTTATAGCCCGTGACTTAAATGTGAAAAATGCAAGAAAACGATAAAGGAGATACTCAACCAATCAATTACTAAAGAGATTTGTTGTATCAAGCATTGCCATTGTACTAGGAATATTTTCTTTATGTACATATATTATATATGCTGGCTGCTCTGTTTACTAAAAAAGTATATACAGTTTCTAGACATGGACATCCTTTCAAACTCATTTAATACAAATATATATATAACTTGTATTAGTGAAACAAATGAATAGTTCTGCGACAGCATGTTCTTCTCTGTTGAGTGATAGGATTTGCTGCTGATAATGTATGCCTATGAAACACATGTTGTACAGAGGAAACAGGTTACGTTAGAATCTGAGTTTATTCTATTGCATCATTCCTTCATTTATTAAATATGTCAAATCTTTGTGGGAATACAGCACACCATCGTCACACGTAAGGATGAAAACAGAAACCTCAAAAGGTAAAGTCCAATGGGGGGCCACAAATAAAAGTGTCTGGTGATGATTGAGAGATGGACCCAGGTTCAGATGTTTCTACTCTCTAAATGGTCAGCTGTGGGGGAGCAGGGATGGTTGCAGTTTGCTTTCTCTCAGTCCACCTCCATCTCTTTTGCACCAGGCTTTGTCTGCTGGCTTCCCTTCCCTTCTGCTCCTTGCTTAGCTGTCGGGTCATTATGAGCTCCACTGTTTTGGTCATTCACTTCAGGGGCCTCCTCCACCGAGGGCTTTGGTCTGTTGATCACTGGATTACATACATCCTCCAGTTCCTGGTGAGTGAGAAGCATACAACATGTTGGCAAAGGAAACTCACTGATCATTACAGTAAGAAATCAATCTTAGGTAGTCGTTCACATACCTGTATTTTGAAAATGATTTCTGCTACTTTGACAACGGGATCTTGAGTGATACCGAGTTTGCTCTGTGCGTTCATCATGCTGTTCATCCAACCCATGCTTTCATTCACACACTTCTCCACAGTGCTCATTTCCTCTGCAGTCAAATGCAGGTATCGCTCATCCTAGGGGAGAAATTGTGACAAGAAAATGACTAAAATGACAAAAAAAAAAATCTTCTTTCAAAATCTTTCCTTTTTGTAAACCTATTTGTATACTGTATGTACATGCAATACATCCCATCAAAGTGATGTACCTTCTGTTTATAGGAATCCACAATCTTCATGTAGAGTTGCATTTTTTTCCCCAGCTCTTCAAAAGCCCTCGGCCTGTCCTCCTGCTCTCTGTGTCGATCCTGAATAGGTTGACCCAACCTCTGGAAAATAACAGAATTGGTGTTCATGTGTCCAGAAATCTTAAAAACCTTTAAAATGTCTCTAAGCCTAAGTAGCTTGGTAAAGCTTTTCTTGTGGTTTAGTAAATCCCATCTAAAATTGAATACAGAATTGAAAAACCTACCTTGAGTGCATCCAGCTTCTCCTCATAGACTTGTTTGGGTTGGTCTTCTCCATCCTCATACAGCCAGTTCTCTGTGTCCTCCAGCAACAGAGTCAGCCGGTTACTGTCCTGTTGTCAATGTCCCAAATTAAAACAGATATTGATTGAATACAGTAGTAGTTCATTTGTTTGGTGGATCAAATGTATGCTAGAAAGCTGCACTTACCTCCTCAGTGATATACTTTTCATATATACCACAAAGTTTGTCCCGCAGATCGTATACATACTCCTCTACAGCATTTTTAGCATCATTCTGCTCCTTCACCAGTTTGTCCTGGATAATCATCTGATGCTGTGAGGAAGAAAACAGAAAAGAAGTCACAGGAGGCAAAACAATAACAGCAAAAACAAACAATATAGTGTTATCTGACTGAAATAAAATACAATTTAGAGTGTAAAAGTTGAGTTTAATAAACTTTTAAAAACATTACATTAATAATTAATAAGAGAGCAGCTTGCATTTTAGTCATATCTTAAAATCTAGTATAACTTTGTGGCTTTAAAACCCCAAGTTAAACATATAAAACGCGTTACTGTACCTAAAACCAAAATGTAGTCCGAGATGATAATTCCTGTGACAAATAATTCCCCTAAAATAATACTGGCACAGATTATGTAAATGATCAAGCATTAAATAAATACTGTGGTCCCTTGTTGGGCCAATCAGTGTTTTGTGCCAGATTGTAATATTGAACATAACACGTACAAATTACATATCAGGATTTTAATTCAACTCGATCCATTAGTGCTCAGGTAATCAACATTTCAGTCAGACCATGACTCAGCTTTTCTAAAGGCCAGAAGGAGCACTGACCTCGTACTCCACAAAGTTGTTAAGGACATCGTTGTCGAGCTGTCGAATGTTGTTGGCCACGATGGGCAGATCTATAATCTTCACTTTGACTTTGGGCTTGCTTGCCCCTGCTGCTGGGTCTTGCTTTTCTCCAGGCGCCCCCTCCTGAATTTGGAAACCAGGAAACACAATTCAGTCTTCTTTGAAGTATGTTACTCAGTACCAAGGTTAAAATCTGTTATCCTTTATTCAAGTCCAGCTGACCTTACTGCTGGAGCTGTTGTCCTCGTTCTGCTGGTCCCCCGGGCTCTGACCCTCCTGATCCACCTGCATTTTGGACTGAGTCACAACACACACTCAGCTGTTTTAGCCAAGTCTGGTTAGATATAAATAACTTAAAAAATGATATTTAGCAAAACTCGAAAGTAAAATGAACCTTTAGTGTATATCAGTCAAATGTAAAGGAATTATCTTTGCTGCAAAATCCATTTAAAACAAAAGATAGCACAAACGGAACGTTGGCAAGATGCTCTAACCTGGTCCTCTGCTTTGCCTTCATTCTGCACCATTGGCTCTGAGTCAATTTGCATGTCCTCTCCCTCTCCTTTCTGCTTCTCGATCAGAGAGGCGCTGGACACGCTGAAGATGCCGTGGACGTTGACGCGCACTTTCACCTTCACTTTAGAGCTGTCTCCGTCCGGCTGGGGAACCACATTCTGTACAGAAAAACATCCTGGTGGCAGATGGAAACAAAATGAGTGTTTAGTTAAAAAGCTTCGATGAAACACCCTGAACATATTCCTTTAAGGTGGAAGTTACAAATTGATATCTCCCCCAACACCTCGCTTATAAGGACCCATCTGTAGGAGACTGTGTCCTCTTTCTTTAGGTATTCAAATGGGCCAACCAAAGAAAATACCAAGGGCACTTATGGGTAATGATCAGAGTTACCTATCCTGTGGTCTGGGTAGGGGAGCTCTTGGGGGTTGCTGTAGAAGGCTTCAAGGTCAAAGGGTTCCTTCTTGTGAAAGGTGATCACTTTGGAAAATGGGGCAGCGTGGTTCTTACTGAACACCTCACACTCTCTGTGACAAAAAAAATGCAGTAAGAGAAAAAGCTTAGTCAGAATGTAAAAACAAAGTCAGCAGTTACTTGTTCTTAAAGTTAGCTAAGGTAAACTGTCCTTACCCCAATCCATCCTCTGTTGGGGACTTCCAGCGAAGAGTAATAGGAAAGGGAACCACGTCAGTGATGGAGAATTCACGCACTTTAAATGCTGGAGACAGAATTGCACACTGCACGCAAACAAAGAGCACAAATGACATGTTACGAGCTATAGAGTGTTTGTAAAGTGCTTCACAACAAGGAATCATTAGTGTCAAGAGAAGAGTCACACCTGAAGTGCACAGCCTCTAGCGACGGCTTCGTCGGCATTGAGCGTGGTGCCGACGTCTTTTCCAAAAAACTTGGCGATTCTTTCTTTGACGGATGGGATTCTCGTGGCTCCTCCAACTATCTCTACTGCATAGATATCATCCCGGTTCAGCTCTGCCCAGCAAACAGACACATGACTCAGTTTATTCTTACTATAAACTGCTTTAATGAAATGTACCTTCACAAATTCTACCAAATTTGAAGCACATACTTGATTGTTCAAGGACTGATTTCAGTGGCATCTCTACTTTCATCAGATATTGACCAGACATGTCTTCAAACTGGCCCCTATGGGTAAAAATTAAGAATAAAAAAATATTGATATTGCTTTCCACTATAAAGATGCATGAATTAAGAGGAAAACTTAATGTGTACCTGTTCATCTTGCCGGAAACATCGATGTCGTTCATGAAGCACTCGATGTTCAGAGGCAGATCGGAGGAGTTAGCACTCATTAGCTTCTTCAGTTTCTCACACTCCTGGTGCAGCCGCAGCAGAGCCCTTGGGTTCTCCCTCACATTTAGCTTGTACTTGCTCTTAAAGTCCTCGCAGAAGTAATCAACCAATGCCTCATCAAAATTGCGTCCTCCAAGGTATAGGTCATGTGCAGTGGCGAGGACCTGACGTAGCAAAATTGACATTGAGTTGAGATTGGAAATTTCAGGTTTAGGTGTTATACGAAGCGGGAAAAAGGTGAAGCTCTAACCTTAAGCTTGCCTTTGTTGAAGGCAGTGATGGAGACCTGGAATGAAGAATGGCCCATGTCAACAAATACCACATTTCTTGGCCTCTCTTCTGGACTAGGAAGGTCCTGTTTGTAGATCCCATATGCCAAAGCCACTGTGAATGGAAATTAACAAAGTATTAAAGCAAAGATATTCTAATGTTGGTGGAGTTATCAAGACAGTTTCTCTACCAAAAATGTGCAAGTTCAGTGTGCACCTTCGTATAAAATTAGAAAGGTTAGCGCAATTCACAAAATGAATTGCCCTTCCACGTAAGATCAATGCACCCTCCTAGAAATGTCACTCTTACTTATTTTGCCAAGAGCACTGACCTGCAGTAGTATCATTAATTAGCCGTAAACAGTTCAGCCCTGCGATTTGAGTTGCATCAAACACGGATCGCCTCTCAGCATCTGTGAAGAAACTTGGGACCTGAAAATAAGACACAATTTGTTATGTATCATTGAACCACTTTAATTATGTTAATGCTATTCTAATTTTGTTCATCACTCACAGAGACGACACAGTCCACCACCGGCTTCTTCAGGGCGCTCTCTGATGTCTCCTTCAGCTTGGTGAGCAGCATCCCAGTGATCTGCTCCACGGTGAACACTTTATCCTCATCCAAATAACGCACCTGTAAACATAATAAGATTAAGACCTCCGAGGCTTATTGAGAGTAATTATTAGCGTTTTATATAGTAAGCCAATAAGTTGTTTGGAGGTTAATTACAGAAGACCAAAAACATGTGTGCATCTCGCTCACTTATCACAACTATTGTTTATGGGGCATTCTACCGAATTAGTGCAAAGTGCGGTCCCACAACAAGAAAAACTATTTAACAAAACAATTAAGTATTCAGACATAGATATTTACTAAGAATATGTTATGGTCTATTTAAACACAAGGCATTCAATTAGATAGTGATAAGCTTAATATATACAAAAACATCATTTATAGGGTACTTTCTATTGGGAAGTAGCTGTCCCCAACCCTGACATCTAAATTTCAATTTCTGTAAATAACACTTAAAAAATGTTTTTAAATGTTGTTCAATGGTGTATTTAGAAGATCTTTATGATTACATTCAAACAGAAGTTGGAATATTTAGATTTATTGTGGGTATCATTTTTTAATAAAAAATCTATACTCAAAAATTAATGTCCCCAGTTTTCATGTCACTACCGAAACACAAGGGGTTTTAGTCCAATGGCTGAGCCTGGTTTTTAGCCACACCCCTGCATTTTTTACTAGGCAGTGACACTGCATCCTTGTCCCTCATAGCTGAATGGCAAGTAGCTATATCCCATACTTTTGATATAAATATGTTCAAAAATCTGAAAATCGGCGTGTAACCTTAAGAATTGTCACTACCGAACACATATTATCTTCAATTAAGTAAACTTTTTCGGGGTTCTGTGCAAAGTATTAGGTTTTTATGTGTGTAAACCTCTTCAAAAATGTGTACAAAATATATATGGACAAAGTTTTGGGAAAAAAACATACACAATTTCAAAACATTTCCAACCTGACTTTGGTCCAATTCGGTAGAATGGCCCTTAAAATACAAAAAGGTGTACAATGACACAAAGTAAAACATCCTGGTGGTTTGTACAGTGCTTTACCTTGATTCCAGTGTTTCCATTGGTCAGTTTATGTAAGCTGTAGGGCAGTTTCGGTTTTTCAGCTTGGACAAGTGGGTCATCAAATGCTCTGCCGTGGAACTTTTTGAAGCCATGGACAGTATTTTTGAGGTTTGTTGTGATCTAAAATAAAAAGACACTCAGTAGATATAGCCACTATTTTCTAAATGTGAATTGTTGTTCATAATCAAAAAGACAACTGTTACAAGTCATTCATTCAAGTGATCATTTTACATTATAGATTTATTACACAAACAAAGGATGATCTTACTTGACTTTTAGCTGCATTTCCAATCATGCGGTTTTTGGAGGCCAAAGAAACACAAGCCCTTGATGGAAGAAAATCACATCAACAAATTAGGTAGGCTACGTCAACAAAATAAAATAATGTTACCAGATATGGCAGACGATGCTCGAACTGTAATTGAATGTTTCAGACAGAGTCAAATGTCCAGGGCTCAGAGGCAAATATCAATTATAGAAATGTACCCAAGAGAGTCTGAGGAAGAACCACAAACTAGGGCAGTGAGACAAAACAGATCACCTTCAAATAAAACTGCAAACCGTTGTGTGACAATGATGAATGCTTCTTGCCATTTAGGGATCCATTTCACACGAGCTAGCAGTGACATGTCACTCCCTAATTTCACTTTGCCACAAAAAATCCCTATTCACAAAGGTGCAATGCTCAGTCATTCTCCCCAGTAGCACATCCCTGTTTGCAGGATGCTGCAGAAAATGTACTCCAGTTAGCCTGCTATACAGTAGTAGCTCCAGCAGTGTCCAAATAATCTAATCACTTGATATTGTAAGATTTGTATTTTATGATCTACTCTATGAATAAAACACTCTCAATTCCCTGTCAACTATGGACTGTTTCTGCTTTTGGGATGTATCTTTAGCAGGCCATAATAAACGCACTTTCGCCATGTCATATTTAAAACAACTTATTACCCTTCACAGCGTAGAGTAACATGCTGTATAGCCCACTGTAATCTAAATTGCATCCTGTTGTCCCTTTACTCATATCAGTCAACTTTGCGGGGCACTGTTTATTATTATCAGGACATGTCTGTTAGAACGAAAAAAGGTTAGTTTAGAAAGACACGCTTCATTTTTGACCTAGCCTACGTAAAACTGCTGTGACGGTGGAATAAACCAATAGCCTCAGGCCTCATGACGCCGCCACCACCATCCCTGCTGCCTCTGTATTTATTTATTCACCCATACCTTATATCATCACTGTTGTGCCAGTACGCCTGCAGTAGCAAGCGTTGCGTAACAAACTCAAAACCAGAGCACATTTAACGGTGATGATGACGGTCAATACTTACGGGGTGCATCTGTCACTGTAATCATTGGCAATGGTTTCAATGCCACCGCTCCTGGCCACGGCGATGTGACAATTTTGGTAACCCACATCAATCCCTACCACTGACATGGTGAGCGAGCGCTCTGAAATGCACCTCCTCTAAAATATCTTCCGCAACGACCGCACTTGACAGCTATTAAAAAAATACACATGCAATGGTGGTCTATTCCAAAAATCTAATGTAATTAAGCGTGTCCTCTAATCTGGAAAAACTACGAGAAAGCTAGCTGAGGGAATACTAACTGATTTACTAGCTGTTATGTAAATCGAGCTGTTTATAGCAAACTCATTCAGAGTAATCCCAGGGAGCAATGATGTCCAGACCGGATTCTCCAACTCCGAGGCGGCCCGAGCATCACCAGCGGCTCTGACTGACGGATCCCCTTCAGTCCGCCCCCGCACGACTCTCATTGGATGAGTCACCCCAATGCCCTTATCTGATTGGTGCGAAAACCAATCAATAAAAGAAAAATCTAGAACCCCTTGGAAAGGGGACCGTGACATACGTCAAATGCACTAGGGACAGCAGTAGCTTCACAGACACGTTTGCCCTCAATTTAAACTGCCAGGTAGAGTTTCTCTGTCCAAATGAAGTGATTCAGGATGTATCTGTGCACCTTAGAGTTAAATATATGACATGACAGATTTTCTAATTTATCTCTGGAGTTGGCTCGTGGTGGCTTCCAGTTTGAAAGCAGGAGCTTCTGAAAAGCTTTGGACAGGGGAAAGATAAGGGTGTGGCCGAGCTGTCCATCTACCCTATGTTAATACTTGTTACAAATATGATCATGTAAACATGGGAATAAAAGGCCAAATAAATCTCCTTGCTCTGATATAGCCTACTGCTTTACTGAGTATTCCTTTAACAATAGTTTATCTGTTTGTTTTTTTAAATACATCAAAATTAAATTTCACTATCTTTATTATTTTATTTATTTGTTTTGCTTCCACATAATATATTCCCAGATGCCCATATTCACATATGTACCCCTGGCGGTGGTGTAAGAAGTACTACAATGTTTTTTTCTAAACTAAAATAATACTGTGCTTGTGACTGGTTAATTAAAGCACCAAATTATTGTTGGAAAAAACGACTTAAAGTGGACCTATCATGCTATATTATAATAATATAGTGTAGGACCATACCTATATAAGGCATATTTATACTTTTTTTTTTTCAAAATACCAAACAGATCATGCATTTTAGCCATGCCTCATTTCGCTTAATTTGCACTTTTTTAGCCCTGTTTTTGCAAGGGCTGATTCTGTGAGAACAGCACCACCTACAGGCCTGGCATATGTACTACAGCGTCTCCAGCGCTTTCGAACGGCAATGGCCGTGGCTGTCTCTTCCTGATTGGTGGAGTTGGCCCAATAGCCGTAGCGCCACTGTCCTGACGTCAGGACAGTGTTCAAATCTGGATCAGTTTTTATCAGATCCGTTGCAGCCCCTTTTTTAGAGATTTGGGTATGGAGGAAAATAGAGAGGGTTGTGTTTTCTGACACTTGGTGAGTTCCCTGGAACACCGGGGACACATATTCATGTATAAAAGATGTACAAAAGTGCATTTTGCATGATAGGTCCCCTTTAAAGTATGTAGAAGAAATATACTACTTTATTTATAATGTTCTGTTAATATAGGCCTTTGCGTTGTATTATTGAATCATTATTATATTATATAAACGTGCCACCAGCATTTATTTTTAGGTAGAGGATACTCTAAGTTACCGTTAAAACAACCTTCGATCATACTTATTATATTTTTGCAAAGATGATCAAATGTTTTGTCAAATCTTCAGTGACAAAGTTAATATTACTATCAAAAACCTGTAGAAAGACTAAATTGAATTGTGGAATAGAAAACAAATAGAATCAAAACTAGCTGAAGACAAGGGGATTTCCCCTTGGCTCATTGACCGTGTATATTTGTACAGACTGTTGACTTAACACATCTCTAGCTTAGTTGCACAGATTTTAAGTTATTAGAATCTGTTAAAGTATTTAAAGTTCCTATAAGATACTGATTCATAGGAGCTAAAAGGTGTCTGTTGTTCAATTGGTTTGTATCATAATGAGAAACAGGTTTATAGTTGTGTAGGTCATTTTAATTTGAAAAAAGGTTTTAACTGGTAAAAAAAAATGATTAACCATAAAAAACAAAATTGTATTGGTTGTTATCTGGTAATGTAATCTTTACTTGAACATCTGTCTTTGTTTCCTCAGTTCCTTGATGAGGACCAGATGGACTGAATGTTTCTTCATGTTTGGACTGAGCCCGAGGACCTGAGCGAGAACAGGAAGTGCTGGTTTTACAAGCAGAGCTAGCCAGCTAGTTTTAGGGAGGTGGGTTAGCTTTGCCTTTAACTCAGTCGTCACAATGGGGCTGTTCGGCAAATCATCAGAAAAACCACCAAAAGACCTGGTGAGTACTGACTGCTGAACACAAAGACTGTCTTTGAGAGTTTTGTCCGTAGAAACAAAACAACGTTAGCGCCTTTTGCTAACGTTAGCTGTCAGTGTAACTTCGTCCAATCTGTTGCTGCTTCTGTTGAGTGGACAGCTGACGTTACTCTAGTTAAACAAGTTAAAACAGTCCCTGTAAAATAATTATAGTTATGTGTACCGTATTTACGTTTTACGTCCGTTGTTATGCCTCTAATGTTGTTTTCTGTACTGAGAACCAACTAGCTAGCATACGAGCTAACAGTAGTAGCTGTCAGACGCCTCGATGTAAACAAATCCTGATTGTGTTCGCTCTAGGCTGACATCTTGATCTGTTACAGTTTAGCTGTTAAACGTTATACATTACTTTAATCTAATGTTACACGTAGCGCTATGTTGAAGTGGGTGTTACATTTCATTGTAGCTGTTAAGGTAATTAATTAAATTTGTAATAACGTTGTATGATTTTAGGTCACTGAGTGGTCTCAAAAAATCAGGAAGGAAATGAGAGTGATTGACAGACAAATCCGAGGTAAGATACAGTCAGAATGTGACACTATCACTGAGCACCTGCAAATAGAAACAAATATATATGTTTATTGTAAAATGTATGTGCAGTGTATATATCTGCATTGTAGTTCCATGACAAGCAATCATAAAACAACAAAGTATTTTAAATATATATAATATAGCTAAATCTTGAAGAATGTCACACGTTGATTTGAACTACTGAGTTATCTCATTGTATGTTTAGCTTAGAAAATATATTGTATACAAGTATTAATACAATTATGTTGTGTTTTTAAGATTGTACATCCCACAACACTCAATGACCATATTATATTAGTTGTATCAGTGTTTCTGTTGTATATAATATAATGCCCTTTTGTTTCAGATATTCAAAGGGAAGAAGAAAAAGTTAAAAGATCCATTAAAGATGCCGCCAAAAGGGGCCAGAGGGATGTGTGCGTGATTCTCGCAAAGGAGATGATTCAGTCAAAACGAGCCGTCACCAAACTTTACGCTTCCAAAGCTCACATGAACTCTGTGCTCCTCAGCATGAAGAATCAGCTCGGTGAGTTGGGGAGAACATCCACTGGGGCTTTAGACAGGACAACTTATATATCATACATGTGTCAAATTATATACTGTCATCAGTCGAACCAGTGTGCTCATTTATAATACAACATAATGTTCTGCTCTGCATTCTAAGTAAAGGGATTGTATTTTGTGTGTTTATAGCTTTACTTCGTGTAGCTGGGGCCCTGCAGAAGAGCACAGAGGTGATGAAAGCGATGCAAAACCTAGTCAAAATCCCCGAGATCCAGGGAGCCATGAGGGAGCTTTCAAAGGAGATGATGAAGGTAAGCACCAGTGCCCAACATAAACGAAAACAATTCACTCAAAATCAAGTTAGTAGAAGAATTAAAACATTGCAACTAACTCTAGGCCTACTCACCATCTACCATGATTTCTGATTCTGGTCATTACTTTATTATAATACAACATTGCATATTCATCTACAGGCTGGCATCATTGAGGAAATGCTTGAAGACACATTTGAGAGCATGGAAGATGGAGAGGACATGGAGGAAGCAGCAGAGGAGGAGGTTGACAAGATCCTCTTTGACATCACAGCAGGTGAAGACATTTGTTCTCATCCATATATCACAATATATTATAATATAACATTCCTGTTTTGTTTCTATTATAAGATGTCGAGGTCTAGTTTTTCTAGGAATTACACCACAGATTATTAATACTGAATCCTCTGTTTCATGGCTCTATTTGCTTTGTCAGGTGCCCTTGGCAAAGCGCCCAGCAAAGTCACTGACGCCCTGCCGGAAATACTGCCCCCTGCTGTTGCGGCTTCAGACGATGAGTCAGAGGAGGACATTGAAGAGATGCAGTCAAGATTGGCAGCTCTGAGGAGCTAAGGTGAACTGTACTGCTCTGTCAAAGTCAGTCTGCTCACTTTAATAAGGACAATTCTGGTGCTGGGTGTACAGTGCTGAGCATCCTCTCCACTCCATATTATAATTAATATAATCATTTGGGGTTAACTTTGTGCTACAACAGTTGGTGTCTTTAAAAAGCTTTTTTTTATAGGAAGTTTTGTCTACTCGGCGCAAAGAAAATGTGTTTTGCTTTATTTTGTCTTTTATTATCGGGGGTGACCCTACGCAAGTCTTTATTATCCAAAGTCAAACAGAAGGTTTAAGAAAGTGTATATAATGTAAGTATGGAAAGCCTGCTGTGCCTACAGTGCTTCATCATGTTCTTATGTCCTAAGTTACGGACCGGTTGGATATTATGATCCTAATAAGCGATTCAATAACTGCCCTGCACTTAAAACACTCCCTAGATCACTATTCAGCAGTTGTTCCAAATCTGTTCGGATACATTTTGTAAGAAACAGCTGTTCTGTTTACTGCTAACACGCCTACATCTGAAACACTAGATGGTGGATGGATTTATCATTTTTGATAGTTGATTTCTGTAAAACCAAAATGTATCTGTTCTATGTGATCTTACATGTTAAGTGCAGTCATCAGAAAAATGCACGCATACTACCCCTAACCCATTTATTTTTGCATTAACATTCAGCTTGTTAAATTAGACTTTGTGTTACGGTTGAGTTCCTTCCCAGCAGGAAGTTGAAAAGGTTGGTTAGTGCAGAACTTATGTATTGTGGAAGTACTGTGTGTATAATTTTTCTGTGTGAATGGGGGAGAAAATAAACTTTTAAGAACAAAGGTAGTTGGTATGCAGACTGCATTACACCAAATCATGCTTTTAACAACAACGTACTTTACAGTTAGCCCCTTAACCTCACAGTCAACACTGAACTCTTGGCAAAATCTTATCAGATATGAGCTTTAAAGGTCCCATGTCATGCTTTTCCGGTTATTACCCGTCCCCTTGTGTGTTATGAAGGTTTTTATGCATGTAAACGGTCTCCAAAGTCACAAACCCTCAAAGTACACCCTGTAGCGAGTAAAATTCTAACACAGAAAATACCTGTCTATGCTGCCCCAGAACGCCCCGTTGGAGATTTCTCTTTTTCCATTGTTTTCTTCCTGGGTACAGTGACATGCCCATACCCTAATGGACCAATCCGTGGAGCCGTTGCGTTACGTCCGCGGAGCCGTTACACTCAATCTTTTCTCAGCTGCAGCTCCGCCGATTTCTCCTCCCTGAGATGGCGGGACGCGGCGAGGCTGTGAGTCGGTGTGTGAACACACACACACAAACTCCCTGCCAGGCTGCGGGTGTGTGTGTGTGTGTGTTCGGGCTGGGTTTAGCTGTGTCTCGCTGTCTCGCAGACGGCCACTGGGCTCATAGGGAGGGGGGGGGGCAGGAGCTCCAACAAGCCGTTTAGGACAGAGAGTGAATACACATACTATACAGAGATGCTGTATGAGAAACCAATGTGATTTTGGAAAATTGCACAATATAAATCTATTTTAGTAGACCTCAACAATGGAATTATGATCAGTAGAAATGGCCATTACATGGGACCTTTAAGGTCCTCTTGAACGGGTATGCTTGCAACAGCCCACTCAACAGGTCAGAAACTGAACTGCACTGAAATCTGCTTTGGTTGACACATACACCTGTCCTGCTTAACAGCTAGTTCAGAGAACCGACTCAACAGTTAAGAGTAAAATGAGTCTGATCTTTTATCATTCTGCTGTTCAGGTATTGCATTATCAATTATCATGTGTTGGTGGTATGACTCAGAATTCAAGTGCATTATTGAGAAATGTAAATTCTAGATTGTTGTTTTTTGAAAGGGCAGGAAAAAAAGATTTTTGGTGGGGCATTTCCTGTTCCTTTTCCTTCAAAATGGATTAGATTTCTACCAGCCGCAGCACTCCTTTAGTGGCTTTTGTTGTGCTTTAACAAAACCACGCCTCTGTTCTCAGGCTACAGTATGTAGGCCAGAGGCTGAACAATGCTAAGTTACAGTAGCTCTAATGGAGCTGGTATTCCCAGGTTTGATGACCATGTCCATTTAGTTAAAGATTTGTAATGTTTTGTAAAATACTATATGGTCACATGTAAATCATAAAACAATGGATAAGTAAATTCACAGGAAATGAATGGGAAAACGTATTCGATTATCAATTCATAATTTCAGTTATCAAGCAAAAACGGCAACCATTCTCTGCTTCACCAACATGAGGGTTCACTGTTTTTATTTATTGTGTGAAAAATACAAAAAAATATGGGATTCTGGACTGTTGGTCCGCCAAAGCAAATTACTTTAAAGATGTACAGAGATGTGATTGATAGGAAACATAGCTTTATCCTTACCTACATGTTGACTATTTCTAAATACATTCTCTAGTCAAAATGACAGTAAACAACGTTTCTAGATCTCTGAGCAAATGATGAAGCTGCCATGTCTGCTTTTGTGCTTAATATGTACTTTGGGCCCCAGGGTACACACACTCTGACCTATGAGGAGAGGGTGTCAGTATGGGCTCCAAAGAAAAATATTTCCTTTGAAGACCACCCTCAGGTAATGCCACATATCACAGCCAGGCAGCCTCAACTTTAACCAGCAGATATCCTGAGTGTCCGTGCTGTCTGTGCAAGGCAACACTGCCATCTATGGATAAGAGCTGTAGTGTTTATTGTGCATCACGTTGCCGCCTGTGTGCGTCCAGACGTCGCCTCCTGACTGTCAACTGGAGGAAACTCCTCCCAGCAGACAGCGCGTCCTGTCGCCTTTCAAGCGCAATGGTCTCGTGGATCATCTCTAGACTTGTGGTGTAAGTCATTTTAATATTTATTTACATATGTTCTGTCATATAGTAGCTTAATAATAAATATGCGTTCCCTGTTATTGTGGCTATTTGAGACGCTCATTACGGTGCAGGAGCGGGGCGCTTTACAAGCCCCCGCAAATTGTCTAATATGTAATCGAAATCAGACCTCTGTGTCTAAGGAGAGCGGTGTATTATCATTTTTGCTTGAAAAACAGTCCAAATTCTAACAGATTGCACTTTGCCATTTCATCAGCAGGAATGCTGAGCTAGGCCTGTGTAGACCTGGTGTATTTCTGAACAGCGCTCAGTATCATGGCACTCTTTGTGTTTGTCAAGTGTCCTTATTTATCACAGACAAAGAGGTAACGTGATTGGCTGACTCATCTATTATCAGACATGAAATGATATGAGTCAGATCCAGAAATCAGAGGCAGCTAAATGTCAGTGAGCAGCGCGATGACTGTCAGAACAACAGGAGCGGTCAGTGAGTGGAGCAATATGCTCTGTTGATGTCCCATATTGGAAAAAACAAAAGGGATGGGTCAGCCTTCTCAGGTTACAATGCAAGAGTTGTTCATGTAATAAGAAATGAATGCATACATCCCGATACCCTCCATTATAGCTGGAGCTTTGAATGATAACAAATAGGACGAGATTTAAGTTATGGTTATTTTCACCTGCACAAAGTATGAATCAGCGCCATTGCAGCCCGTGTGGAGTATTCTACACCAACAGCAGGCCCAACCTTAAAATAGTGAGGCAAATACATTTAGATTACAAGATATGGTTTCATAGATGGAACAGTCTCAGCCGCTTACAACCCTGTTATGTGCATGATTTTGGGTCCATTCTCCAACATGACATTCTCAGTAGCGTCTCCCACAGATGATCTGTTTATTTTTAGTGCCCTTGTGTTTCTTCGGAGCAAAGGCAGCGGGAGAGGTGCAACATGATGTGGGTCAGTAATTTGATCATGTCGCCCTCACAGCTGTTGCCTGGCTGTAACACTTCAACAGGGTCTCTGTGGGACACCCTGCAGCACAGGTGTCTGCATAGGAATTGAAATGTAAAGAAAAGCAATAAAACACTCGGGATTTATGGCTGGAAGTTTAGATCAGCAAGGGATACATTTAACTTTTCATGGCTGATTTCCTAGTTTCTCTCTGGAGGGGAAACCTTGTTGTTACCTGAGAACCTGTAAATCAGTTTAGATATGGTGGCATGTATCCCAGAAGGCTCATTTAATAAAATGAATGATTGTGTAAATGGATGAAAGAAGACAAAACATTTCCAACATTTATAAAGGCAGGGTAATACATGTACTAGCCCAGGTAATTTGAAATATCTTCCTTAACACTGTATGTTTCCCAAAACTATTTATAACATTTAATATCTCTTGAATATTAAGATTGTTCTTGCATTTTTTAACTATCTCTCGGACTGTAGTGTTAAATGTTTTGTTTCTCGAGTTAATGGGCACATTTTCTGCCTTCCAGACTTATCTTCGGTACACTATATCCTGCATACTCATCTTATAAAGCTGTGAAGTCGAAAGATGTGAAAGAATACGTAAGTATATCATTTGTATTTTTAGTGACGAGATCACATTCGGCAATGACTTCCTTTTATGTACAATTCTTCAAAGTGTTGTGTGTAACTACTTTAACTTTCACTGTTGTCCTACATTTTAGGTAAAATGGATGATGTACTGGATCATATTTGCCCTATTCACCGCTGTGGAAGTGTTTACAGATATGTTTCTTTGCTGGTAAGTGACTTATTTTTAATGTTAAGTAATATAACATTATACTCCATGTTTATATCAAATGTTCCTTATGAGTGGCTCCATCATTTTGTGTCTTTGGTGCAGGATTCCTTTCTACTATGAACTGAAGATAGCCTTTGTGGTGTGGCTGCTGTCCCCTTACACTAAGGGCTCCAGTGTGCTGTACAGGAAGTTTGTTCATCCCACGCTTTCCTCAAAAGAAAAGGTGAAATCCTTCCCTTTGTCGTACCTTCCTATTCTTCCACTGGTGGATTCAAGGAAAGTCTTTGGGGGAAATTTTAAGTTAGCCTTCATCATGTTTTGTAACTAATAGAAGTTGAGCTTTGCAGCTGTCCAGAGAACAAAAGTGCCCTTTGGGTTTTTTCTACTTTCGCTGTTAAAGATGTGTTGGCAGGACAGGATAGAGGAAATGTCAGTGTTCCTCCCTTTCTCCTTTCCTTTTTCCTCCTTGTCTAAGTCAGGAAACACATTAGTGAGTTGGAGAAGATAAGTAAGGCAATTAAGCATATTAGAAGCGCATGTCAACACAGCACATACGGACTGACCTAATAACAAGGGAGACAAGGTTAACATCATTTTGTTTCTGTCCTTGTTACAGGACATTGACGAGTATATCTGCCAAGCCAAGGACAAAAGCTATGACACACTGGTGCATTTTGGGAGAAAAGGGCTGAATGTTGCCGCCACAGCTGCCGTCCTGGCTGCAACAAAGGTAACGCAGACTCTGGATATTTGGTTTGTTTTGACCTGGGGGTACAGTAGAGGGGCATTGTATATATGCACATAGGCTTATTGTGTGCTTGTTTGTAAAGTAGCCTATTGTCAGGATGATCCATGTTGTTGACACACTGCCACTGACACTAGATGAAAACCTTGTGTTACCTTTTCTAGAGCCAAGGGGTTTTGTCAGACAGATTGAGGAGCTTCAGTATGCAGGATCTGTCTTCTTGTGAGTCTGACTCCAGTAAAACCGCCCCTGACACTTCGCAGCCTGCAGCAGCAGCACAAACTCGAACCAGGTCCATGATGCGCAGCAAGTCGGAGAGCTGTAACAAGGGTGAGCATACATTACTCTGGCCCGCACAGGAAATTGTTATTGGGGCATAATAAAACTCCCTTGTAGTGCTGACAATATAAGCCATAATGGTGCTATTATAACACAATAATAGTGCCTGCATGGTTCGTTTGTGTAAAACAGATTATCTTTTAGATTTCTGTCTTCCTGTTCCAGCTTGTTTAAGCCGTCAGATATTGTTTAGAGCCTCTGCTTTCCTGAGTGGCCCCGAAACGTCAGTCCTGCCTTCCTGTTTGGAGCAGGTCAGGCGTCGCAGGCCTGCCAGGCTCACCACCCTGTGATTAAACTCGTATGTAGCTGGGGGGATTTGTTCCCAACATCATGTGGAAGCAGTTGTTGTTTGTTAAATTCTGGATCGTGTCCTTAAATATTTGTTCTCAGCTGATAATTCTTTTTTTGAGGAGGAAATTAAGACATTACATTAAGACACAAATGTTAACATTGGAACACAATTTTCCGCTGTGTAAAGACATAACAACCTTTTTATCGAACAAGGAATTAAGATAATCTGTTAATATCTGAGAATAATAATAGCATTTACTCAATTATGGATCCTCTCAATTTAAAGGATAAACTAAGGTTATTTTATGTTATGGTATTGGCACCAAATCCCATTAAAACACAAATGTTAACTTAACTTCAATTATTGATGATCTTCACATCATAAGAACTTTCCTAATTATCAATGATGTCAATAAGTGCAGTTACACACATTCAATAAACCAGAGACACGTTGTTCATGCCTTCCACTGATCCTTCTTCATGGCACAGATTTTGACATGACTGAGTATGAGATGTTGGGGTTGGGCCAATGGGAGTCCAAGGAGTCGCTGTCCCAGACCATTTCACCCTCTGAGTCCGAGTCCACACTCATTACGCCCTCTCTGACGCCCCAGTCCTTCCCACCCTCCCCACCCTCCACACCCTCCACACCCTCCACACCCTCCACACCCTCCCCACCTCCCTCTCCTGCTCCGGAGGAAACTGAGGAGGTGGGGAAAGGGCTGCTGGTAGCATCAAGCTCTCCGCAGCTGAGGCTGATGAAGAGGAAGGCTCCTGAGGTACAATGCCTCGTCAGCGTGGCTTCTCAGCTGCTGCCTGAATCTAACTGGCCCTTGAGAGTGGGGATTTACTCACCGATTCACTCATTTCTGTTGCTGGGTAGCTAAATGAATCATCACAGTTCAGAACTCCTGAAACTGTGGAGGGTGGAGGGTGGGTTTATTGTTTGGTTCAAATGAACGTGTGATCTTGCATGGGTGCTCACTGGTTTTGAAATGTGGCATGGGGAAAAAAATATAAACATGGATTTTTCCAGCCCTGATAATAACTTGATAATGTGATGTTTATTGAAATGATTTTCCATTATCAGTCCCTAGGTGTGAACCCCAAATTGGTTTTCATTAATACATTTTAACATCTAATATAACCTTTTCTGGCATGTGTTGCTTAATTGAGCTGCACTGTTCTAAGGACACAACGGCAATATTCTATATTTTTCTTACTGTTGACAAATCCCATGAAAAAAAACAACGAAATTGACTGTATTGATTCTACAAATAAGTATTGTCTTTTTTACTTAAAGACTGATATTACTTATTCCTCTTTGCCATACACCACTTGTTGTCTATAAAGAACACAAACAAACATATCTGAGCCACACAGCTGCACTGGTTCCTACATTATATTGAACATTGGCACTGTATTTTAGTTAAAACTATCCCAGATACTGTACATGCATCTTGCTGCCCTTAATACTCAGTAAACATATTTAATAATCCACAGCAAAAAATAGTCCCCAACAAATGCTTCCAAAAATATGCAGTTTAAAAAATCTATTAAATACGTTTGACCTGTTTTAATAGATGTATGTCCTTAGTAGGAACTTATGGGCTTTGGACAAGAAGAAAAATACAAAATAAAGCCAGCAGCAGTATCCTTTTAATAATGTGTATAAATAAATTAAATACTGTCTTTATTTGTCTTCCCTTCTAGCCTCCTCTTAGAGTCTTAAGGCCTCTCACAAGATCCAGGAGTGCTTTCCCCGAACAATGAAGCCATGTGAAACTGTCCTAAAGACTCCAGCTGCCTTCGCTGCAAGAAGTAAAAATATGAATGGCCAAAAGCTACATGACTGAAGCAGCCTTGCTTTGGAATAAGGTATTACCAAAGTGACCTATGATGACCCCTCTATTTATATAACATCTTGTGGCTCATGATTTGAAAAACATTGAGGGTTGTGACATCGAGTGCATATGAATGAATGGTTTCCATGCTGATAGACATTTTTGATTTGATGGGTTATTTTATATGTTTTTATGTACGGTGTGTGTGTACTTCATCTTTCTGATTTGATTGTTTTTATATATCAGGTTTGGATAGGCAATTGCATGCGTGTCTTCTCAGCCATTGGTCCGCTGTTAACTAACAGAATGTAGTTTCATGAATGCCGGAGTGAGAGTGACATGGTCAATGTAAGAGAATGTAGTAAAAGCCAATGTTCAATAGAAAACAAATGTCTTACCCCCATTCAATCTGTTCTATAGAAGCATCTATGATCAGCTGTATTCTGCACTGATTAATTCTCATATTATTCAAAAATCACTCTTCTGAGTTTAAACATCCTACCTTTTGTAACACTGAACACCAGTGGCAGACAATATTTTGTTACGCACCTCTCTATTAAAGCCTTAAAGAAAGACGTAACAACCTAAAATGTCTCAACATAAGTATTTCTAACAAATATGTTCTCATTAAACAATCATTTTGCACTATGTTTACTATTTAAAAAGGCTGCCCTCAATGCTCCTAAATGGCCCAAAAAATACATAAACATGTATTCATAACAAATTAATAGCTGAATATTATCACTAAAACTTTATTATTTCTTTTTTCTGTGGTAAAAGTATTCACACCACAGAAAAATGAATTCACAGGAGGTTATGTAGTGTACCGTTTTTGACAATCTACTGTTCATTTTGTAAGCATTTAACTGATCATTCATTTGGCAATGGTCGGCCATTTAGGAATATGTTACTTTGAGCTTTAGCAGAAATAGGGTATACCGTGAGTAAATATTTATTAAATATATATAAATTAAATATAAACATGGTTATTTTTCCGTGTTTGAAATCACTGTGTAGTGCTCTGCTGTTAACGGAGCAACACTAAACCCAACAATCTTCTGCTCCCTGATTTTTAAAAATTCATTAGTGACTTTATTAGTTTACAAACTTACATTTAAGTTTAAATTGCTTGTTGATACACTGTATGTTTTCATCCTTTACTTAATTCACTGAGCCTGGGACAAAGCAACATTTCACACAATATCACTGTGTTGGTTGTCGATGGATAGACTTCTGCCATAGATCTATAATTTTCATCTTTGTATCGGTTTCATTAAGAGTCTGAAGTTTGAAACGAAAGCTTCTCAGGTACAACTGTTCTGTTTACACGTCACTCACTCTGATGTTGTAGATACACTTATGCACATAAATTGTCCTTTTAATGGACTTTTGGTGAAAAAAATGAAACAGGAAAAATCGATTATGTGTTTCAACGTTAGTAGTATCAGTGTTAGTGATGGATGTGATATCCTATTAAAATTCATGCAAAGCAAAAGAGAAAAAAAATGTTGCTAAGAAGCAGATTTGTATACATGTGCGTAAACTGAAACTCATCATTGCATGATGTTTGTTATTAATTTGTATGAACATTTGATTCAAGTGATTTTGCTAAGACACCTTGCAGGTAAACAGTGAATCATTTTTGTCATGTTCTGTTGCTTTGTAGAAAGAATATGAAATGTTCTGACTATACATCCATGTTGGCTATACATATGAATACTGTCTTATTTACTGGTAAATTTGCCACTTTGACTTCATTCATGAGGAGATACCACTTAAGTTATCCTAAGAAATGTAGTTCTGGCAGGCCAGAATGTCAAAATAATTCAAATTCAACCTTATTGTGAAATACAAAACTAAAGTGAAGTGATGAAATGATGGTTAATCGCTATCAATTAATTGTTCTACTGGGTTAAATATTTCTGTTAAAATTGATTTACAGCCATTAAAAACTAAGTAAAGAATTGACTCTGTTCTAATCTTTTTTGTCTTTAAAAAAAACAGGCATTTAAAAGGAAAGGATCATTTAACATGATTTTATTACTTATTTAACATTATAATAACACAAAAAGAAGATGTCACAACATGAATCAGCACATTACACTTTGAGGTTGACCCGATCGTGGTACTTCAGGTACGGATCATTAACAAACCAGTTCCTCCTTTTCCAAAATGAGGTTGTCATTCTATCCAAAAGCTTTGTTTGTGTTTTGTTACAGAATACATGCTCCCTCAGGCGGCTTCGCCGACCAGGCTTCTTCTTCCACAGTTTCTTTTTGTATCCAGACTGTAAACAATGTCCACAGGAAGACAGATTGGCAACACGTTTTAAAAAATGTGCAAAGACAAGAAATGGCTGATCTTAGCAAATGATTCATACCTTGCGTCTTATCCAAAGGTCACAGTGCAGCCTCATGAATCTCTCCGTCACAGATTTGACAGACTTCCTTTTCCCCTTCTTCAGACTGACATAGATCAGACTTCGGCTTGGCTGTTGAGTCAGACTGGGAATAAGAGCTGAAACCCTACAACAACACAGAGTAGAGAAAGGTAACATGAATTGTTAATCAGAGTTAGGTAAATCCCAAGATCCATAACTATGAGACTCTCAGGCCTTTTTGAGGCTAGCTGCTTAATTGAAGAAGGTTCAATTCAATGAAATAACAAAACAATATTTGACCTTAACACAAGTGTTTGTAAAACAAACACTTGCGTTTTTTGGTCGGTTTTGAAATATCCCTCGGGATTGGAGAATAGCATTTTGATTGTGGTGCTTAACTCTTTTGGATGTCCAATCTTCACATCACATAATTACAAAACTAATTCTCAAATGACAAGCAGTAGATATTGAATACAATATCCTTGTTGCTACTGACTCTAATCTTAACCCAAATGTGTTTTCATGCATGGTATAAAATTAAGTAATATTATATATGTTGTGAACTTGTGATAGCAAGATATCCCTTAAATGGAACAGAGCAAACCACTGGAAACAGCCCCAGAAAACTTGTGTCATGTGTTATATTCTATTGCCTATAGTGTCAATGTAAGTTATGTTCTCTGACGCGATGAATAGTAGAGTTATAAAGATACATGTGTTGATAATATTCAACTATGAAGTGGTGACGGGCTTTGGTTATTAACTGTCCACTGAACAGTAGTCTGGTTATCAGAAGGAGTTGTTGTACCGTTGAAGGATGCTGCAGCGGGGCGTCAGGTACACCGCAGCCCGCAGAGGAGCGCGGACAGCGGCAGAGCAGTAGAGAGGGGCAGGCTGGATGAGGCTGGAGAGCGGACAGAGCTGTGTTGTCCTGGCACACAGAGAGACAGACAGCGGCCTCAGCAGCCCTGTCAGACACAAGGACAACATGACAACAGGTCAGCGCACTGAGCGCAGAGAAAACCTAGCACTGTGGCTAGTTAGCTATTTTAGCAACTCCACGTACTGACTGTGATAACACACAACACGTGTTCGCACAATTATGCCAAAAGTTCAGTGAATTAGAATATGGAACAATACTAAACATGTACATGGTGAAGGGAGTGAGATAATACAAGTTGTAATGTCAAATTGTCAGTACATACCAGACACCCTTCTTGCAAAGGCGGCCGCCATCTTTTCTACTGGAATGTTCGCGTAAGTACGGAGTCCTGTTAGGACAAATGTCATTGTCATTGAATTCAACGCATGGATCTAACGTAAATACGAAACGGTGCATTACCGCCACCTTGCAATTGTTACTCACATGTTGTATGATTTTATTCTCAGAAAAATATGGCGAAATTACAGTTTTGTTGTATTTGGTTTATAAAATATATATTTCCTATTTTTGCTATTGTATCTTTCTAACCGACAACATTTCAGAGGCAAAACTGTACTTTTTACCACTCTACATGTATTTGATATCCATTTAAATTATATATATTTTTTTAAAACATGACACTTTAACAACAGTCCTGTTACTAATAACCAACAGCAAAGGAAATGTGCTGCTGCCCTTTGCAACAATGATATGCTTCTTACATGTAAATGCATCATGAATAACAAATCCACTAATGAAATATACACTGACATTTTGTATACTTAAATGTATTAACCATAAACTAACTGTACTTTTATTAGAGTTTAAATTAATGCAGGAATTTGGAATGGAGTAGCTTGTTTCCACATTCTAACTATTTTCACTCAATACCTCTTGCACCACTGCTGTCTGGTATTGAAATACAAACAACACAGACCAACCATAGAATTAGTGTGTATGAGGTTTCATCCTCCAGAAAGTATGTTAAGTACTCTGGCATCAACTTTCTGTGCATGTTATACTTCTGAACACAGTCTTGTGTGCAACTCTTAGCTGTATCTGTCTTTCTACTCCATGGTTGTCACACTCTGTAAACATGTTTATCTGAACTACAGATCTGCTATTTGTCACAGTCACATTTGATGTTTATATAATGTGGAAGAAATGTTCACTGCAGTGTGACCAAACCACATATTTGTTAGAGGGTCTGGTAAACCTTGCAGTATCCCCTGAATACATATTCTTCATGGCACACATTATTACCTGTCATTGCAGGAAATGCACAGGGGCAACTAATAACATTAACAATGGCCCTTCTGGACTTTGATCTGCACTTTATGAAATCATAAATTATTAAATACACCTGTGATTTTCCAGCTACAACATGTACAAATATCTGTGTCCATATTGTTTTAAAACCAATGTGCAAAAGTCAGACATTACTTTTTAAACAAAAATGAAGGGCACTTAATCTAGAATGAAATTGCATACAATAGAAAAATAAGATCTAGATTGCTGAGGATAGGGACATTATACAATTTCCATGTTTCAGACCCCTCAACTTTACACCACCTTAAAATAATACTTGTTAAGATGATTTGTACCAACAACAAAAAACTACATCTGTGAGGCTCTGACAAGGTCAGGCTGTCTTGACAGTATAGGCAGACTTAGACTTAAAACCCTGGTATTTATTTTGTACTGGTTATGATAGTAGTGGTTTTCCAGGATTGGGTGAATTTGTTTAAAGGAGAGGTGTCATGGCCATTTCCACTGATCATAATTCCATTGTTGAGGTATACTAAAATAGATTTATACTGTGCATTTTTCCAAACTCACATTGGTTTCGCATACAGCATCTCTGTAAAGTGTGTGTATTCAGCAGTATTCACTCTCTCAACTAAACGGCTCGTTGTAGCTCCAATAGCTCCAGCCCCCACCCTCCCTGTGAGCCCAGTGTGCTCTGATTGGTCGGGACGTTGTGAATCGCGCTGAGCTCCGTGGAGGTGTGGTTTCCTTGTTTATATATAGCGATACACAGCGAAACACAGCCAAACTCATCCTGAGCACACACAAACTCACAACCGAAGTAAAAACAATAAGTGTGGCTTGATATTGAGTAAGAAAAAGGTTGATAAACGCTGTGAGAATGGGTCTGCAGCAGGGGCGGACTGGCCATCGGGACGTTCGGGACGATTCCCGATGGGCCGGTACTGAAGTGGGCCGATCGGACGATGTGGGCCGGTCGGATAAGTCACTAGCACCTCATTTTCTATACATTTAAAACATATATTCTATTTTAGGTTTGCAATCAAATTCAAATAAGTACAAAACAGTGAGAAATTAGGCTCAAATTAATTATTTGTATTTATTTTCCTTTATACAAACATAACTTTAAAAAAAGCAGATGAAAAACAATTAGCAACCATGGCAGCAACCAGTTTACACCTATCTGTAGCTGTGGAACTACAAGAGTTATTGGAAGTAACCACAAGTCTATCAACACATCAGTCGGAACGGAAGTAAATCAATTACCTCTGTAAAAAAAGTGCTTTTCATAAGACAGAGAGGTTCCCACAAAGTCAAGGAACGCATCTATTTTCACCGCTCAACATACCTCTCATAATCCATTAAAGTAGTTTACAAAAGAAGCGTGTTTGTCTCTGAGTGGAACAATTGTACCAGTGTAAAACTACAAAAGTTCAGAAAAAAACGTCTGTTTCTTTGTAATATATTAAAACGTACCAGATTTTAAAAGCTGGTGGATTGTCAGAGCACTCTCAAGGCACCAGTCCAGTGTTTTAACTTCGTACTCCTCAATCAGTTCTTGTGTCTTTAGTTGGGACCCATAACAAGATACCAAGGCTTTAAGGTCCTCTGTTTCACCAGCCAGCATACACAGGTTCTGCATCACAGGGGACGCCATAGTATCGACCCTGAGGTCGCTCTTTGCGTAATAGTGGAGCTCGTGCTACAGTCAACTCTCCATCAATGTCCCTCCGTCGACGTAGGACCATTAAAATGATGAAGAGTACAGCCACTGAAAAAGAACACCAGAGGATGTTACAGGAAATGTCCATTTATAGTACCATTGATTACACATACGCCAATATTATACTGTGAGCATGATTCCTATTTTAATTAATTTTGTCCAGTGGGAATTAAGTGGTCTCAGTTTAACAGGGAAAAAAAAACAAGTTGTCATTGTGCAAAAAGAAAAGTGTTCTCTTTTTGTGAGAGATATTAGTGTGTTTAATTTAAATACATAACGTAATAAACAAAACAAAAGATAATAATAATTCAGAGTAATTCAAAGTCGTTTGACTGCAATTTATTTTTTTCATCTTTGCTCATTTCCTAATATGAGTGAGAAAAACATGAACTGTGCCGTTTAAGCTAAAGAAAAAAAGGAAGCCATATATTATCCAAATGGAGATATAAACCATCAATATATCAAACAAACACTTTCAATACTTACTTTAAATAAATGTTTTTGTGTGTAATTAGATAATATATATAATCTAATTCCCACATATTGCAGCCTGAAGCTTCACAACTTTAAAGGTAATCAGTTTGAAAAGCATAACTTTAAAGCAATGCTTTTAAACATGTTGTTAGTTCAAGTTTTCTTCGCTATAACATGAAAAACAATATCAAGCCCTAGCT